TCCTTGCTGGGGTAAACAACCTCCTTAGAACAAGCCTTTCCTCAGAAGTCCTGTTTCCCAGACGTTTCATCCTACTTTCTTCTGGATTCTCCTGAGATAAATGTTGCTTCAGTGCTGGGTAACATGAAGGGTTCAGCTGTGTGCTTCACAGACTCAGCTCCTCTCAGTATGCCCTGGTATCGTGATGTCTGTGTAAGACAAAATGGCCTGTTGTTGTTCATTTCAGATTTCTGAGTTGCTGTACTGCTCCACATCTGCCCAACAGGCTGCCTCTTGTTTTGTCCTACTGCAGCTGATTGTACCTACATCTAGGCACAGCTTTGCTTCCCTCCTTACTGAATTACATCCTATTTTTTCAAACCTTTCATCTGTCACATCAAGATGATTTTTAATTCTAATCCTGTTCTCTCACATCTTGTAGCTCGTCTCAGCTTGGTGCCATCTGCATACCTAATAAGGGTGCTTGTTATTCTATCATCCAGTGGTTAATAAACAGTGAATGAAATGGGAGCAGGCTGGAGCCCTGTTGAACCCTACCTATCCCTCCCTATATTTTGCCAATGACACCTTTCTGAGTACAGTTTTCCTACCAGCTTTGCCTCCTTCCCTCGGAGGGACTGTCAAGGTCATGTTTCCTTGGCTTCCTTCGTGTAACATGAGGTGAGGCAGTACCAAAGCTCCAACCAAAGTCAAGATGTAAGACTTCTGCTTTGCCTCTATCTGCAAGCCCTGCTGCACGATGAAATTAGGTCAATTTGATATGATTTGCTCCTGGCAAATCAGCACTGGCTGTTCCTCTTCTCTTTGTTGTTTCCTAGGTGCTGATGATTAGTTAGCTTAATTATTTGTTCCAGTGCTTTTCCAGGAACCAAAATTGAGCTGACTGGCCATAATAACTGCCTTGCTCCTCATTTCCCCTTTCTGCAGCCAGACAGGGAGCTGCTCTGTAAGGAGCCCTGTGGCTCACGACGGCCTCTCCTAGGCCAGCCCCTTCTCAGAGCTCCTCTACAGTGATGCCAAAGCAATACTTTCCTTACCTCTCCTTTGACTACTGCTTTAGAGCTGGAATATTCTGCTCATCTTCCCTTTCTGTTCTAGTTATGCATCCTTTGCATGCCTTTCTCAACTTTATCTCTACTTGTATGTGCTAAACATTTGTGCCCATCCTTAGTCATTTGCACATCTCAGTTTTCTGTTGGCTTCCTTCTTGTCTGTGAGGCCACTGCAGATTTAATGACTTGGCAAGCTGACCTTGCACTGTTTCTTAACCTTCCTTTGCACTGGCACAACTTCATGTTTTTGCCACTGTGTTGTTGTTTTTTTTTTTCTGCAGAAAATCTCAGCACTCTTGAAAGCACTCTTGAAAGCATTTGTCCCGGAACTTGTTTCCCTGAGATCTCTCTTACCAGTGTGCTGGGTTACGTGGGAGTATCCATGGTGCTCAGCAAATCCTCTTAATGGGAAAGTGTAGAAAACAAGACTTTCAATGAAATTGCGGGCTTCGCCCATTTCCAAATAGACTTTCCCAACCTGTGTATACTTCTTGTTTTCTCTTTGTCTCTTAGCAGAATTGAGTGCCACAAGCCAAATTCTGACCTCATTTACACCAGTAAAATGTGAATCTGTTCCAGAAAACTGCTAAAGTTGTTTTGGGCTTACAGTGATGAAAATGAGAGCGGAATCTGCCTCATTAATTCCCCCAATCCACAGAAAGTAAATGAATCCAAGAGGAAATAGCTCTTCAGAAGGGACCCCTGGAAAGAATTAGAGACTGACTTAATGGGATTATGGGAGAAAAATGCTTTAACAAATCCATGTCAATCCTCTCTTCAAAACACTCACGGGGCCAAAATAAAGAAAAACACTGTTTTGGGAAGGAAAAAGTTAAAAAGCTATGAAAACAGAATCTCTCAGCCTGCTCTGATGATAATAGTCCCATTGCAGAATGAGTGCAACCCAGAAAGGCTGAGTCAGCAATACCATACCTGATGCTTCATGTTGGGCTGTAGGACTTAGAGAGAAGAAACTCAAATTTCCCATTTTAACCATGGGGTCCTTCTGCAATTTTGGGTTCAATAAAAGACAGGTGGAGATCAGTCAGCATTACAAGTAGGGATGGGTGGAACAGGTCTGGCAGCCAGAAACCTTTCTCCTTGTCGCCTAGCCAGTCGGACATTCAGCCTCCAGAGTGTGCTTTGGCTTTTTATTCTTCTGTTAATTAGCATCTTCTTGCCATTACCCCTCAATACTGTGTATGGCACCAGAGCTGGATTTGCCACAAATAGGCATAGAAGACCCTGCTTCTGCAACGTTACAGGATGTTTCAGGAGCTGCATGGTGATGGCCTGCCTTTGTGCAGTCAAGTGGAAGAGAGAAATATTCTGAGCAACTGGCAGGAGAGTCTTCCAACCAGGCAGGCACATTTGTGTGCTGATAGAAAGAAAAGAAGGAAAGAGCGTAAGGCTCATCCTGTGCCCATTTGTAACAGCTGGAGGCAACATGAGCTGCTAACCACACATATGCACTGCCTTCTTTCATCTCCCTTCCAGGTGGCTTTCTCCATTTGCCCAGCTACCCTGGTCAACCTGAATGAAGTGCTAGGACAAAGTAATTAAAGCATTGTCTCCTCTGTTTATACCAAGAGCACACCATTATCAAAGGCAATCCTGCATTGAGGATGCTGACTTTCTATTCTGGTAGTCTGATGATCTTTGAGGAAGAGCTGGGCTTTATGCGCAGATGCCCAATTTCCAAGGAAAGCTGGGCTAAACAAAAGCATTCACAGGGGAAATACAAGACTGTGGGAAGTCTGCAAAGCCCTTCCTATGCTGAGAGATTTGAGTGGACTGATGTATTTTATGTAATTTAGAAATTATAAGGTTGCTTGATATCAACAAAGAAGAGCTGTGGCAGGACAGAGATTTCTAACTGGGGACTTCAATTTAGAGAAAAACACATTGAGCAATTCAGTGGCTAGAAGTACAGAAAGATGTGCAGACCAGAAAAAGTTGCACCTCTTGTAGGAGAATAGCTAACCAGAGAAATGGCTTTTCTAGCACCCTCCAGACCTTTCAGTCTTGCAGCCAAGAAGACGTGGCTTTCTAACAGATGCATGGCAGCTCATAGGGAAGTCCTGGGTCTGTTTCAGAAATGACTGGCAAGGTTCCCTGAATCCCTTATGCAATAGGTTACACTTGAGGATTGTAATGGTCTCTGCTGACCTTAAACAATGAATTTCTGACATTCAGCTGTTTTCAAGCGTAGCATTTTATTGTATAGCAGTTTGGGATCAAAAATAGCTGTAATCAGTGAATCAGTGTAAACAGGAAAATTAGCAATGTAGTTGCTTCAGCACCCCTTGTGCTCCTTAATTTGATAGTTCTTTATGTTATGTCCTTACGTTTTTTAGTGTGCTGCAGGACTGTGTGTTGGACACAGAATCACATTACAGGAGTAATTGGGAGGCAGCTGGGGAGTTTTGGCAGCTGGGAAGGGGACAACAAGCACTCTTGGCTCTTTGGGAGGTGGTGTGGATTTGTGGGATAAGTGCATTGACTGAATGCTAAGATCATCAGAAGTGAAAGTCAAAAGGATTGACAATAATATTTGTCTCATCTTGAAGTTATCACTCCAGAAGAGAACAACAGCATACAGTGAAATAGGAGCTACCGTTTGGCCTGCAGACTGGTGATCTCTCAAATCTCGCAGCAAAATGTTTTTTTCAGTGCAGCTTGATTAGTTTATACCCAAAGTATAGCTGCTGTTTGCAATGATGTTATTTACAGAGGCTTAAGGCCAAATACTTGAGGAAAACCCTGCTGTTACAGGGCACAGCTCTTGCTTGGTGTGTGTGTGCGGTGGAGGTTTGCATTGGTCTAGAACCAGTGACCACATCCTCAGTAAGGTACAGCTGAGGTAGACTTTGCTTCACTTGCCACAGTTATTCTGTCTTTGGATATTTGCTCTCCTGTGCAAATCCTAGAAACTACTGCTCTGCTCCTTCGTTGCCCACTAAACCTTGCAAACAGCCAGTGCATGAGCATGGTTTAAGGGAGGGAGGGGAGTGAAGCTGGGGCTGGGAAGGCAGAGCAGGTTTAGTTATCAGCTGCTGTGAAAGGGATGGGGGGCCTGTACAGATAAGGTGCCTCTCACTAGCATTTTCATTTGGATGAGAAAAACAGCTGTCCTGGTGGCGCCAGATAATTGCAGTTTGATGAGGTGCAGGGTGTGGCAAACTGGTCTCCCCTTGGGGGCACTGTACTGGCAGAGAAGATCCCCACGAGAACCTAAGGTTCTCCAACTAGTGGTGGATGCTCAGGCTGTGGCTCTGAGCGGGAGCCACCTGCAAGTAAAACTTACTGCAAGCTGACCAGTGTTGCTCTTATGCTTCTCTGTTTGCTGACGTAGATATAGCCTCTACCCTCTATGTCTGTGTCACAGTCAAAACACTCTACTATCGCTTATTTGTCAAGATCATAAAGATTAAGTTAATTTATATTTCAAAGGGGCCCTCCAAAGGAACTGTCTTTGTCGTAATGTGATTATCAGGAAGGCCAAAGTCTTTAGTCTCTGCCCTGTGACTTCTTGAGGACGTGAGGCTGCCTCTCCACTGAGAACCAACTCATTTCTTTTCTCTCAAGTTTTCTTATTTAATATCCTTGCCCTGAGTCCGGTTTATGCTAATTAGTTACTAACTGGTGAGGATTAATGCAGAGGAAATATAAAGCTGTGAGGTTACATGACAGTCCTGGGCTTGGTTGTCAGAAGCCACTGTAACCTTTCATTCTCTTCAATCAGTATCGCCACAGCTGTGATTTCCAAGGTGAGATGTGAAATTCCAGGAGATCTGAAGGCTCAGCAGTAATCAAAAAGACCTGCAGTCCTATTTATTGTGCTGTAATTACTTTATTTAGATCCATTTTGTTTTATTGATCTTTGGTTCCTCCTCGTCAGCTTAGTTTTAATTCTTTCTTCTACATTCCCTTGTCTCCTGCTTGTAGAGGCAACTCGGAGGACTTCCAGCCACCAGGGCCAAAGTCTCGCTGGCACTGTCCTACTGGCATGTCCCTGGTGGAACTATGCTGGAGGTCACTGCGTATCAAACGGGGATGATCCATGCTCAGGTGAATGCATGCTTTTCCAAGGTGAGTACTGATGCTCTCTGCCACTTCTTGTGACTCCCTGTGATGTCCTGGACACTCAGTGTTATTTAACATCTTACATCACTTTTCACCAATGGTTGTTAGCACCATTAGCTACTATTAGGCGATCATACATTTGATTCCCTGAACTTTGCATTATCTCTTTGATTTAATGTAGAGAAACTGTTGGATTTTTTTATGCTGCTAAATATTATTAGAGGCTGACTCTCCCAGCCTGTGCCAATGATGGGCAAATTGAATCCTATTTTATGTGTAATTTCTCAATCAGAGAACAAAGTGCTTTGGCAATCTGGATCAAAGGCACCAAGTACAAGTCATTATTATTGTTGGAATAGTGAAGTGAGCTCCTGGAAAAATCGTGCTGACTTCTCCTTTGTAGGATGCCTGCACTGTGGAGCCTTTGATGTCTAATGGTCTGGCACCATAACTTGTGTAGATATAGCATAGCCTGTAAACAGAGAGGTAATGAATGAGTAGATCATTATTTATGACTTTTAAGACTTCAGAACACAACTCAGAAATCCCATGTGCATGAAGCAATCCATATAAGACAAAAGATATTAGAAAGAGAGTGATAAGTGAGCCTTTCATTTGATCTAGCAGGGCCATTCCATTTAATTATTTTTTTACAAACTCTTCATCCTATTTTAGATGGACATTCCATCAGGCAGATGAGGTATTCTCATTCTACATCTTTAAAACTGGTGTCGTTGGAAGATCAGAGTGTTGTTCTTTGTGTTGTTTTTCCTGAATTCTGTACTCCCCAAACTACTCTGAAAGCAATGAATATATTCCCATGGCAACAGAAGCACAGAGCCTGGGAACCGATCTCAGCGGGGCTCCTCCTCTGGCAATCCCCAGCCGGTGTAAATCGAGCGTCTCGTGCTGGCACAGGTAGCTGCTGAGGAAGGCATCATTTTGGGTTTGAGTTTCACGAAGCAGTATACACAGTCCCAATGAGCCGTATCTAAGTCTGTAAAATTGTAAGTGCTGTAAAATAGATGGGAGGGGGAGAGTGGTAAGGAGTGCTTTTGTGTCTTCTTCATCTATCTGTACATGGGGGAAACCCAGGACCGGGATGACATGGGTGCTGCCTGCAGGTTGAACAGCCTGCAGCAATACTCACCTTGTGAGCAGTGCCATGATGCTGGTGAAAAACTGCGTAAAGGAGAAAGCCAGGTCAGTAGCAGGTCCAGGGGAAAGCCCCTGGCTGCTTGGAAGTGCCTCTTAGCCTGGAGTGACAAAGCATGTTGGATCTCATTCTTGTCTCATTGCTTGTGGGGGCTGTGTGTGGGCAGTCCTCTAGCTAGTGCATGTGCAGTGGGGGCCCACTTGCTGCAGCCCCATGGGATGGGGTGTTGCACCTGCAGAAAGGTGCCAGCAGCAAAAACCCACTGCATTCTCCCTGTTGTTAGCTTTGCTTCCTTTGTTCAGCCACTGTTTCATTCTGGAAGCACTTTAAGCCCCTCCATCAATAGCGGTTTGCTAGGAAGATGGTAGATTCCCATCAGACTGAGATCCAGATACAGCCAGAGAGTATAACCAGAACACCTCTAACCAAGCCCTGCCACCTTTCTCCTCCTCTGTGGCAGCTCAGACTGCGCTCATCAGGAGTGGGGAAGTTGGTGGGGAAAACATTGGGAAACTTCTAGAGGTGCTAATTAAGCAACTTTAGGTTATAAACATCTTTAATTGGACTAATTTTTGGTGTCACATATTGCATCTTGATGAGAAGAGTCCTAAAATTAAAGCTGTTTTAGTCTGTCTCCTGTTCCTTCTCTCTTCTGTTTGTCTTTCTGGTTGCAAAGAAAAAAAAAATTACTGACACTTCTTGGGCTTTAGTGAATACTGCTATTTTTAAGGCGTTAAATTTGATTTACTTCAAATCTGACCCAGAACTCCATGCTGAGACCAGACTGCCTTTACCAGTGCTGTAGCTAGCTTCCCATTTTTGCATGCAGATTTTTAAAAACAGATGAAAATCAGGCTGGTAAAAGATGCTAGCACACCCCCACCTTAACTAGTAGTGTCCTTTATTTTAATCTCTGACCAGGGATCCTGAAGTACATCACTGTCTTCTTGTGACAAATGGAATGTCATCCTCCTTTCTTCTTTTTTTTTTTTTTCCTTTCTTTTTTAGTAAATGTTTCTTAAATGACAGAGTTGGTCTTGTATTGAATTACAAGATCCAAACACCACCCATTTTCCCTTTGTGGCTCTTCATCACTGTCATGGGCTAGCTGATATTCTCCAGTCTCTATGGAAGCTGGCTTTCCAGTCCACACCAGGCAGGTCATGGCCTGCTCCGCTCAGGGAATCACTGCATATGTCAGGTTTCAGAATTCCCTGTTTTAACTGGTTACAAGTTCAGGAGTACTTGCTGGTGTATCTCTTGTGCAAGATCAGTCAGTCAGTCAATCAATCCATGCCTCAAAATTAGTGGCTCTCTGATGGCATGGAACTGTATGAGCATGGGGGCCAAGTGAAGGAAGAAGCATGACAGGTGCGTGAGATGTTCTCAAGTTCAGGAATTTTCAAGGGTAGTAGGATGGTGCAAAGCAGCTTTGGGACTGCAAGGAAGGAGAAACAAAAGCAAGGTATCTTCTCCCTTGCAGAGGCTGTCCTCTCACTTTGTCCCTTCTTTGCTGATCTTCCATAGCTCCTTGTCAGCCTCAGTGTAGGCAGAGAGGGGGAGCCTGTGGCCTCCTGTGTGCCTTCCTGCCTCCTTGCTAGCGAGCTCTGCTCCCCCTGCCAAAGGGTCAACGCATTCTCAACTCAGCTGGGTGTTTCATAGCTTGCACAACTCTCATTTGCTTGAGGATTTTTCTGAGGGGGTACGGTGCCAAGAGTTGCACTGTAGAGGTTGTATTTCACTTCCACAAGGCTGCTTGCCATTTTCACAGTATCTCACACCATCATGGAGCATACTGTAGGTAATAGAAACCTTTAGTTGATGGTTCATGGTGTGGTTTGCTTTGCAAGCCCTGCTCACAGGAAGCAGAGCCTGCAGCCTCTCCACATGCATAAGGGAATGCATCTCCTTGTGGCAGACAATTTGCTATGAAATCTCCTGGAACTGCTCCAGCTCTGTATACTCTGCAGAAAGACCATGCTTGGGTAGTTTTGTGCTGGGCCTGCTCTCCCCAGCCTGCTGTGCACTCTGGGCTGCAGCCAGGAGGAGAGGTAGCCTCTCCGAGGGAACCGCTCTAAAATGGCTGCCTAAGTGTGGCCCAGCCCTGCGGCAGCAGCCCAGCCCCTACAGCAGAGCTTGGGCCTTGTGAGCCTGCAGGGAAACATCGCCTAAATCTGGGGGGAAATCCTGAAAAGCCCTTTGTGAGGAGTGTATTTTTGCAACAGCCTGTTTCCTCCTTCCCTCTCCTTCCTTTCCCTACTGCTTTGTCTGCTAAATAAAACAACCTACATTTTTGACCTGAATTACTTTAAGTGTCCCTGAAGGCATGTACAGCTACTAGGACTGTGGAAAGGTTTTCTTCTCTAGTGCGGTTAGATAGCTCTGATAGAGACAGGTCTCAGGCTTGATCCCCTGGTATGAGTGCTGTATTTACGTTTTGCTGTACAGAAAATCTGCGTTTGCATTTTTGTAGCACTGTCCATCGCAGAGCAGGCACTGATCCTGTGGGGCAGATCTCTCCCCGTTTCAGTAGGCGAGACCCAGGGAAAGCTGCAACCCAAATCCTTGCCTCTACCCTCACCTCTCTGCTGCTGGGGCTTGGGGTGCCAGGCCCCAACCCCTCAGGAGCGATCTGTCTGTCAGCCCTGAGCATGCTCCCGCTCTTGCTGCACGTTCCGAGTGAGGGGTTTTTGAAAGGACAATGAAATTGCTCATTTTGGCCTGTTTTAGCACCCTCTCCTATAACACGCATGGCAAGCCTGGCTGAATTAAACCAGCCATACTAATTTCTCTTGTTAGAACAGCCCTGCGTAATGCACAAAATGCTTGGCTTTGGAGGATGATATTACAAAGAAGGACACTGTAATTTAGTGGCTCATTTAATGTGAACCAAGAGAAATATGAGGCATGCCAATGCCGCATTGGGGCTCTATTTATATCCTTTTTGGTGTACGGTATGATTTATAATAAAGGATCATTTTTATATAGTATTACCGTGGTAATGGAGCTTACTAGGCTACCATGTCTGAAGTTAGGAAATATTGTATTAGAACAAGTTCTTTTAACACAGCGTAAGAATAGCCCTTTCTCCAGTATTAAGTCTCGATTCCAAGCTTCTTAAAATAAATATCGATGCGCTCTGTTTATCTAGGACGCTGGGCTTTTATGAATGCAGCACCAGGACCTTCATGTCTGAGCCCAGAAGATGTTAAGTGCAACCCCATTTGGCAGTAGCCAGCCTCCACACTCAGCAGCTCTGGTGATTTTGCTCACCCGAAGCACTGTCCATGGGAGGCCCGGGAAAAGGGAGAGAAACAGAAAGCAGAAGAACCCTGTTTGGCTGTTGAGCGTGCTGTGACAGACTGAGGGGAGCATTTCCCTCCTCCACCCCTAAGTGCATGGCCAGCAGTGGGGTGCTGCTCTGAGCCGGGGCATGAGGATGCGGGAACAGAGGGGATGCTGGCAGGAAGGAGGAGGAAGGAGCAGTGTTTACTCCTAGGAGCTTTTCTGAAGGCCACACAGCGAGCAAACAGTGGAGCCAGGATTAGAGCGGAGCCACTCCTGGCACCTTGCCCTCAGAGTGATTCAGAGCTTGTTTCCTAAGCTAGAGAGCTGGTTGAAGTTTCATTTGTCTATCTAGACAGCAGCGTGTTCTGCTTCCCATTTAAAGCTCCGGAGCCTTCTGGTGATTCACAGTGCAGGCAGCAGTCCCCTGCGTGCTGGTTCTGGTGCCAGCCAGCACAGTGCCTGTGAGTCTTCAGTGCTGTCATGCAGATAGCAAAGGCATCAAAGTGGGTCTAGAGAGAAGGCGGGAAATAATCAGCTGGAAGGATATGAGGATATGGGGAAC